CAGCGAGCAACCTCAAATCACAGGCGGAAGTCTCTCTGCCTTGAGCGTCGGGATGAAGGCAACGAAGGCTTTCCAGATTAGTGTTGTCTAGTGGCAGCCGTGACAGCAGATACTCGGTGCATTTAATGTAAAAACTCCTCGCACCCAACCTAAATGCCCTTTTTTTCGGCTGCCTCCCAGCTGGCCATGGCAGCTTCAGTGTCTTCTCCTACTTCCACCTTTGACTTCCAGTTCACGGATGAACTAGGCTGCAGGAGTAGCAGATCCTTCCCAGTTTTCGGGTTGTACGATTCCCCTTTCATGAAACGGCCACAAAGTTTGTGGACAAGCGCCACCATTTCGCCAAAAAGACGATGCACTAACGTCTCTGTACCTTGAAACAACGTCAAAAAATCCTTAAAAAGGTCAAAAGCATTGTTTACAAACAAGAGTTTAGCATAAAATGCCTTGTCGGAAAAGGCTTCAGCCAAACGTGCACGTATTTTTCCACCTGAGCGGCATGATGAACTAGACAGCACAACGTTTTTGATGGCGTCGAACTGCTCAATGAAGCGGCCCACAGCTGGACCAAGAGTGAGCCACCTCGAATTCAAATGCCGAAGGAAAACATTCTCTGGTAACCCCAGAGCTTCTTGATGTGCCTTCAGGGAAGAACTGCGAACCGCAGATGATTTCAGGAAGTAGTATGCGTCGACGACGGCTGCCTCCATATCTGATCTGAAGGCATCCAGGCCTCGCCCAAAGGAGTTATGAACCTTATGAAGGCAGCAGTCACCCACATCCAAAATGTGCGGGTTCACTTCCTTCATCTTTGCCTTAAAACTCTTCATGACGTTGGGTACATCACTAAACACACAAATAAGATTATTTTGTGGCAGGTCCTGGATTGCCCTTTTAACTTCCCCTAAAAGAATGTCCGCAGTGCATGAACCCAGTCGACACGAGTCCAGATGTTCTACAAGAACTCCTTTTGCAACTGATGAGTAGTACCGCACTACAACATCTATCTGTTGGCATCGCTGCTCCAGGATTGACGTCTCATCTATGGCGATGCTGTAGAAAGTATCTGGTCTGTTTAACTCGTCAACTACAAGTTGTTTACAGTGAGGGCCAAGGCCATCCGACACAATGTAGGAAGCCTTACTTCTTTTACATGAGAACTTTTTCGCAACCTCCGAGTCTGGAAACATTTTAGGGTAGAGCATTGTGGCAGTGTCCGCCCATGAGTATGGCACCCCTTTGAGTGTCATTTCGACAACAAAAATGGTCTCTGCTTGTGTTACTAGGTCCGATGGCGAGATCACCATTTTTGGTGTGAAGTCCAAGCACGACTGGATGGTTGACTGTCTCTTTAGTAGGCCAGAAGCATCACGATATTGTCTAGTAGCTTCAATGTGCCTCTTGTTGGTTGCATGTCTCATAATGGCTGACACCCCATGCTGTTTGCACGCAATAGTTTGGTTACACATTGTGCAAAAGCCACTGTCTTCGGACATCTGACGATACCAAACAGAGATGACGTCGCCATTTGGATCTGTGGCCTCAAGGATATCCTTGTTGAACTTGGTGTTGCGACCTTGGTGTTGCGACCGAAACAAGGTACATTACTAGCATGAGGGTAGCGTTATCGCAAGATGTTACTGTATTATGAGCCCACAATTCATTATTAACAAATCTATTAATAGGATAAAAAATACAACGTGGAAAAAGGTGGAACAACAACACCATCGGCCAACTGCCGAGTTGCTAGACCGCGTTGTCACACTACGCCGATACAAACACGTCGGTCAATGAAGTGTTATAAACTCAGTAAGGTCCGTGAAGCACATACGACTCAACACTAGCGCTCCGTATTTTAGCGTTCGACGCTTCGGTCGTGCTCCTCGGCGACGACGCTACCACGGAGCTGGTAAATGCATATGCGTGTGCGATCGGCTCGGCTCGCTTGTAGAAATTATAAGGTTAGTTTCGTGCACAATAAGGGTTACGTAGGGTAATAAGATATCAATTATCGGCCAAGGTTTTTAACGCAAAACGCAAAACCTAAGTACGACCGCAAGCACTATCTCTGCGGGGCAAAATCGCAGTCGCAGCCGGGCACTGATATTTGCGCGCGCTTTCGGCGCAGCAAAGTTGGTAGCGATAAGCTGTAGCGGGGGCTTCGCGGAACCTTGCTGCGCATGCGCTATTTTAGAAATTTCAGTTTAACAACCATGAATTCACGCCGCCTAATTTCGTTGACGCGCTTCACGAGCAGTACATGCATCACGATGCCCGTCTCTTCGGGCCGCGAGACGGACGGTCGCTACCACGGTAGCTGCGAGGCGCACTGCACGGAATAAACTGAGTCTCGGAAGGGGGGGTTCAAGACTGCTGCGAGGCACCAGCCGAAACTTCACAAACAAATAGGACAACGCAAGTCGCTTTGCTTACCTTTCGAAGCTTTCGAACGGCAACCCGCCATTTCCGATGTTGCATGCGGCCATGCGGCCATGGAGGCTTCAGCGGTTGAGCGTCTCTGCGTCACTAGTAGTGACTCACTACCATCACAAGCGCCTCCTAGCGAGCAAGGCTGCTCTCGCGGCGAGCCTGCCAGCAACCATGGCAGTTCACGAATGGCTCCAGTTTCGGTTTCAGAACTGGCAGTGCAAATGGCAACTTCTGGCGCAGACTCGGCGCAGATTGCTCATATTTGACCAGAATGGCGCAGGATTCGCCTTTCGGCGCAGTTCGGCGCAATTGGCGCAGCTATCACATCACTGCCATAGGCAAGGGGGTGGGGTGGGGACAGGAGCGGGCACTCTCAAAGTAACCTAAAAGGGGAGGGGGTGCAAAGTCAGCCCCATACATTGAAATAATAAGACGGGGGGCACTGTGATGAATCTTCGCGCCCCCAAAAAGGAGGCTCACCCTGCGCTTGCCTACGGGTAATACGGATAAGGTGGCTGCACTACACTGTGCGCCAGGATGGGCACCGCACAAAAGATTGCGGTGCAAGCGCAATTAGTGCCAGAGACGAAGTTAGCTACGTAATGTTCCCTACAGTTCCTCTCATTTTGCTGCGAGTAGCAAAACCTAGAATGCGCATGCAGTTACACTGAAGTGCGTGATTTTACCAGAGAGCGTGGTGCCACTGCTTCCCTGAATATATACAGTGTTCCAAAAAATCTATTCAATATTACTGAAAAATTACAGAAGAGAGGCATTTGCATGCTATCTGTGGCGTTCTGTTTACTCTTGAAGAAGGTATCTTAGATGCATACTAACAGTAATTATGGTAGCAATTATGGAAATCAAAACAATTAACTGTTAAAGTAATGGAAAAAGCTAATCAAGTCCAATGGTCAAATGGCAAAGTGAGACCAGTTATCACTGTCAACCATCTAATAACCAAATATTTAGTCATGAAATTCTCAGCGACTACAGCAAGTGTGCATGTTTGTATTGAAAAGTTGGAAAGAGACATGCGCCTACGCAGTTCTATTTGGAATAATAATTCTTCTGCACGTCAGTGCTTCGAGATATCCCGGAGTAAAGTTTAGTTCTGGTTTAGAAAGGCAAAAAAGAGAACCACCCATTTGTAGCACGAAGCCACAAGGAAATCCGTATGGATTTTTCAGAAAGAGCCTCTTAGTTGCCGAAAAATTCGGCCTGGTCTGGGCTTAGAAACCGTGATCAACGCCTTTTTGGGGCAGTCGCTCTGCCAATTGAGTTAACCAGGAAGCTAGCAGCTGACAGTGCGAGGGCGAATTCATAGACGAGTGGCTGTCCTCTTTCCTTTTTTTTTTCACCCTTCTGCCACCTTGCTAGTTTCCACAAAACTGATTTGCAATGCTTAATTCTGGTTTGCATGATCACGCATGCAAGGCAGCGCGGATTGGTGCAGTGTTCTTTTCTGATGTCACGAGCAGTGACATTATCATCTTTGCTTATCATTAAGGCATTATCATATTTGCTTTTGTCTTCAACTCATTGCTGATTAAACATGTTTATCAATAAGCATGTTAATCATAAAAACCACAATTAATCGCTACAGCAGAATATCTCAGAGCACCGACAAGCTAGAAGTATTCTTCCAACTGGGACTGTGTAGAAACCTGACTGTCTCCAACTTTTCAGTACAGCCGACGTAGCTTGCAGCACTCACTAAAAAAGTTCATTATTCAATTTCAGTTTATTGGGATGCTGACATCTGTAATTACTATCTCACTTTGTGTATACCTGAATACATAAGTTATCTCCAAAGATATATTTTGCCTACCTTCCAGAGCTGAATTAAAAATAAATTTTTAAAGCTTAAATTAGACACCTTGTATACACTCGAATCTTGCTATAACAAATTAGAATATAACGAATTATCTGTTACAACGAAGTAATCGACCAATAGCTTTGCCGTAGATCAAGCATTATAAATAATTGTTCATAACAAATTTTTTAGGATATAACGAGGCATTTTCATGGCAGATGTGACTGTTTTATAATGAGGCTTGAGTGTATATGTATAGCACTCCATTGAAATATAGTCCTTTGGCACCCATAATAATTGGCGCACGAGCTATTAGCAATGTTTCGGAATGACATGAAGTAGGAAGCCAACCCTCCTTCGCAACGAAATGCGCATAGAAGAGCAACTACTTCCAATATGCGACAAGCCCTCCTCGCCAGTGCGTGGATATAGTTCTGGAGTGTAGATAAGGTGCATTACATGTCCATCACCGTGCATCTAATTACATTTTCTTCATCCTTCGATCCTGCACACTTAGTAAGTTCAGCTATGATGAGAAAATGTGAAAAAAAAATGTCGATGCACTGCTGCTTTTGTTTATAATGCAGTGCAAAAAATACTTGTTTCAATGTGGCAAGAAGAGATCCTACATAATGGGGCCCACTTATAGCTATCATAAACCTTTTCCCCTTGAATGGGTATAAAAAACAACGGAATTAATTTCTCTCATTAGTATTTATGCAATGAGGCAGCCTCGCACACTGAAAAAACTAACCTTTGGTTTTGTCTGCACGGTGATGATGTTGTGGGCAATTACAGCATCTTGTACGCTGATATTCCACATCAGTTTTGTGTAGTACTCACGTCCAGTCTTTGTATGGCAGCCGGCACAGGGGTCGCTTGGCTCACATGGCTCTTCCTGAAGAAAATTAAGGCAGCCTTTAGCTTTGGCAGTACTTTCATTCACTAGCTTGCCTTCCTTTAGTTCCTGAATTATGTTCAAGCAATACAAGAAAAAGTTCAGTAGAACTGATCGCATTCTTTGAGATTGTCACACAAAAACACAAGAAAAGCATTTTAGAGTAAAAGCCTCACATCTCTATTTTAAGCGAATGTGAGGCACAACATATATCACGTGGGTGAGCAACCTGCGCCCACTTTGTATTTGTGTGTTCATGAAAGTGGAAAAAAAATTCAGAACAAGTGAATACCATGTTGCCAGGCTCTGGTCGCAGAAGGGGAAGACCGAGGACGTATGCGACAGTAGAAAATTCTATAAAAGCTCAAAGTTCTACCTTTCCAAATGACCGTCGAGAGATGCAGCAGCCATAGAGTTTCCTACAATTACCTAGAAGGAACACCAGCACTGTGATCGCTCATCCTCCATGGGAATTAAGGGTAGTACACAGAATTGCCTAATCTTTGAACCCACTTGTGGCTTTGTTCAGTGTTATGTTATGGTTTTGTTTCGAGTAAAAGTATAGACTGTTGTAGACTTTATGAGCCGATTAGAATTGATAAGCCTAAGCAGGTCACAGTGGTGAAGCGTAACTGCTTAACTTTTGCTGAGCTTTGTCTTGCGGCAAAGCGAGTTCAGGCCCCAAGAAGCCAAACAGAGCCTCAAGATTGAAGATTAGACAAATCCATGTACTACCCACCATTCCCATGTTGGCTGAAGTGCCATGTGTTGCAGCTCCCATAGACACTAGCGCCAGAGCCCCCTATAGTTTATATGAAGGAACCTCTTGTTATGAATGACCTCGTGCTCGTGTCTGGGAAGAAAGTTGCGGGGGGAGAAGCATGCACAGCTGCATTTTTGGAAGAAAAATGCCACGGCCCCTCCATCTTGAGCAAAGACCAACCCACGAGACATTCATCCACAGTGCAACAGAAGGCAGGCTTCACCGCCAGTCAAAGCTTGGGCTCTGCCTTTGTTCGCACATCGGCCGGAATGCGCCGGCTCGCCGTGGCCCACAGACCGGGATGCCTTTGCTTGCCACTCCATTGTCCCAATCCTCCCCATCGCCTGCTGCTCAGCGCCGGCAGTTTGGCTGGGGGCAGACGCGCCACGTCGTCGGGCTGGGCAGGAATTTTCAAGAAACAGCAAAATTCTTCAGACGTGCACATGATCAAGAAGCCGGGCATTGAAGTGTTATGGTGGTGTGCAACACATGGTGGTGGTTGTGGTGGTGTGAGCCGTTTTTGTGGACTTTCCTTATCTCCCTCTGCATGCGGAAAGATGGTTCCGCCTTCACGAGTCGCCGGACCAGTCATTGAGAATTGCATTAGCTGGAAGAGTGGACAATGCGACCAGGGTTGACTATGCTGCTTTTAAAAGTGGGGGACGTGTGCGTTTTCAGCATTCCTTCAGCGAGCATCATCCACAGCGAGGCTTTCAGCCGGAGCCCCCGAGCTTGAGCTCCCCGAGCTCATTTCTGAGCTCCTCAGCCATGTAAATAAATTGCTGTCGTTAGTACAAGTGCCTCATCTGACTTGTTCGATGATGGTTCCTACGACGGGGGCCTGCTACCAAAACTGAGACCCGCAGGACCCAGAGTCGCGATACTCTACAGTGCAAGCAGCCTAATGAGAGCAACATGTGGCCTTAATATGACACAGGCATTCTGAGAAGGCACAGGAGAGGGTGGAAAGATAGGGCCATTTTTCGGAATCATATTTTTCGTTCTATATAATTTGAATGTAGAACGTTTTTCATGGATTATAAAACAAGTCTAAACAAGTGGCGAAACTTCTCAGGTGCACTGGTTTCTACCACTCTTGCTTCAGCTGTAAAAGAATAACTTGTGATACGTAAAATCTGTCCCATTCCACCCGCCTCTGGGAGTGACAGGGACATCACTTGGCAGGAGTGGGACGTATGTAACACAATGATAAAAACCTCTTCAGCGGCCATTATAGGCTGATTATTCAGTATCAAACTTCAAACAGTATTTCAGAGGATTGCAAAAACTCTGTTCCTCCGCCAAATACTTGACAACGTGTCCATCAATGTTCAAGTCCCATATTTTTTTAGCAGGAAAGTAAAGAGTCTTTATTCCACAAGAACTACAAACTCACAATGTTACGACTGTTATTGACTCTACTTACGTAATGAGCGTGAAATTTTTTAGCACTAAAGTGTTTTATGCCGAGGTCCAACACAGCTCTACTGGCGTATTTTCGTCACGGATATGACATCAATTATAGACACCATATACCCTTTGGCAGTCCTCAGACCTTCGTGGCTTAAGCGCGTTTTCATCATCAGTAGCGAGATGGCACGAGGTGTGCGCTTTGGACCTGCTCTGAAGGTCATCCGCTCCCGGGTTTCGGAAAGTGCTGTCTACACGAAGCGTAGTGTCCCCTGCGCGTGCGCTCACCAAACTCGTCATTCAGGAGAGCACAAAGGTCACTTTGCTCGCTCCCGCGGCCGCACTTTCGAAAGGAGCACGCTGTTCACACACGAACAAATAAGAATTGTGACAGTTGTTGGCACTTGTGCTGTGTGTGTACACTGGTGAGTTTGTTCCGTGCGTTTTTTTTTTGTTTGAACAGCGCGCTTCAAGTGTCGAGCTTTGACAGTCCGCGCTCATCCTGAGTATGCTTGTTTCGTGCACTCTTTCTGTTTGAGGTGCACACTACAAGTTTTGAACTGCTGCCTGCCGTTCTTCGTATGACTTTGCAATTTGTTGGTGTAGCATTCATTCCTTCGGCATTGTGGTGAAACAATGCACAATAAACGCTCAATTACTTCTGTGAAGACAAGTTTCACTTTCGCGTTTTGCCCATTCCTAGAAAGAGGTATCAGCCACATTTTTTTGATAGAATTGACAATAACATCGTTTTTGTTACTTGAATAGATTCCTTAAAGATTCATTAGGCCAATCGATTTATTAAATGTCATGCCTGTCATTTTCGAAACCTGTCATTTCATTGTAACAATCAATAAAAGAGAGTTTGCCTTCCTCCCCGAAGTGCTTGGGTGTATTAGCAAATGCTGTTTCATTTCTGGAGGGGTACCAGCGATACTCTAAAGTGTGTTACTTTGTTTTCATTAATTGTTCCTTAAGATCATGTTTGGCTAACCTGTGAAAGTTTTTGTTTAATAATATGCTTCCCCAAAGAATATGTAGAGACTTTTGTCCTGTATTTCTTTCTTCCTTTTTGCACTGTGTAAAGTGATGAGGCAGATGGGATTCCAATGTCACTTGAAACAATTCCACCTGAAGAAGCAGTTGATGCTGAAGCTGCTTTATTGACAGAAAATGTTGAGACATCTGTGGAGACATTTCAAGGTCTATTAACGTTCGTTTTGGCTTTCAAAACTTCAGTTGATCGAAGCGACAACTCAGGACAGTGACCTATAAAGCCCATAAAGCAGTTTTTTCTGCTAACTTCCTGACTTGACGTAATGCTGGGTACTTTCAGTTTCAGGCTGTCGCAATTTGGTCTGCTCGCAATTGCACCTGAATTCTCGTAAGACTGTAATGCATCTTGCTTACCATCACCAAATACTCATTCAAGAGAATTTCATCATCTACTGTGATGGCCACACCGAGGACTAAATTAGACTGGAATAAGGTGCTGTCTTTGTCCCGAAATCCTTGGACTTCATCACTGCTCGGCCAAATTAGAACTCTTATAGTGCTAAGAGCTTCCACTATGTCCTTCATGCCTTTCTTTTGGTCGCACAACAATATCAAGGCACCTTATTTGAGCATGCATTTGTATGTATGTGTTTACGTATACATAACACCTGCAAAGCGAAGATTTCTGAGAGGGGGGTGTTTAGCCCTCTCCGTTTCAATCTTTACACCTGGCTACGCCACTGCTCTTTTATGTGTGAGGCTTGTCAAGATGATCTTTCTCGTAAACGTTAGGTATCTTTTTGAAAACTAAAATGAAGTCACAAACCCCAAATCAAAGTGTTCACACATACACAAGTGCACTTATGTTTTTTTCTCTACATATTTATAAGGCTAGTTCAGCCTCATCTAATAACTCAGCAGCACTCCTGTTGTAGCCTACATACTGCAGAGCTTATCCTGCAGAGCTCACAAATGTGTAATGGACGAGTTTTAAACAGAAACATTGTGTATTAAACACCCTTCGTTTACCTTTCTTGAAATGAACTATAGTCTAGCTAGCCTGTCAGTTATGCAATCTTCATGGCACTGAATGTTTGTATGCTTAAAGGGACACTAAAGGCAACTATTAAGTCCACGTTGATTGTTACCCTCCTTAATAAGCGGACCGACCGGACCAATTCACGTCTATGATGATGATATTTGTTGCCCTGCTCTTTGTAACGGGCGACCAAACGGGAAATCTGGATTTGGCACAAGAAGTCTCTAATTATTGATTTGATGTATTTGCTGCTGGACCTGTTCTATCCTACAGATAGTTCGCACACCACCAGTGTTTTAATCGGCGCTTCATTGCCTCCACTGCTTCCCACTGCGGTTGCTCTTGTGACTCCCTGAAACCCAGTGCCATTGCAGCAATTTCTGATGTTGTTCCGGTGGCGTAGCGGCCGCAGATGATGAAGTGGCGGAGACCTGTTCTTTCAATGCTGGGCAGCAGAGCACGATGTGCTCGATGCTTTTTTCCTCCAGGGTGCAAAGGGGGCATGTTATGGCGAGGTTGGGTGTGTATGTCGCCGCAGCAGCCGGGTTCGGAACATGTCGCACCCAGCTTCGCATAGCAGATCGCTTCCCTTTGAGTTTTGGTACTACGGTTCTTTCTCGATCGCTTGTTTTGCCTTACTGTAGAAACTCGAAGCGGGCTTTCCTGCTGCCATCCTCCGCCAGCTGGCACTTTCGGTCTCTTGGACGGCTTCTCGTACCTTCCCGTACCGCCATTGTTGCCGTGCACAACGTTGCCTGGCTTTGCTGCGCTAGTAGCAGCAGACCGAAAGCA